GTATAACATTTTTTATCAAGGACGGTCTTGAAAAAGAGTTTTTCGTGTTCGTATCATGCGGTAGGCACTCGTACCTATTCATTCAAGTACGTACATATGCACCTGTACTTATATGGAAAGAACGGTGTACATCGAAAGATCGCAGTTACTTTCTTTCATTAATTAAGTATATGTATGTCGAATGCCTTACTAATAGGGAATAAAGTGGAAACCGAGACTTTCTTTTATCATATATTACAGCATCTCGGCTTGTTCCAATTCAAACGACAACGTGTACGATGGGAAAAGACAACACAACGATTCACTTGTTTTGTTTTTTTTTTTTTGTAAAACCTTAACTTTTAATGTACGTTCAAATTACAGCCAGTTGTTCACTCAAGGCTTTTATTAGTAACGGTTATTGTTCATAACAATTACCTAAACAAGAAAACTGGGTTTACATGCACTTTTTTATTACTCGCAGTAGGCGTTCAATGCTATTAGAAACGATAGTATGTATAAAAAAATATTTACGGGCACAAGTATATTGAATGCTCCGTTAAAAAGTTACAAAGATTTTGAAAATAAGAACTAAATAAATTCGTACTTCAGGTGGTGCATCTTTTGTGAAACCCGGTGAATAAATGTAGAAAGTAAGCACAAGTGGGTAGTTTCGCCAAATTATATGCACAGGCGTTTTCTAAAGCTTTTATGGTATATATGTACCTAATAGATTACAGAGGATATTTTTGTAATAATTACACAAACTACCATTTTTCCATCAGCAAAAAAGTGCTATTGGAAAATCTAGACTGATAAGGACTTCACATCAAAATGCGAAACGTTAGTGTTGCTTTAAAAGATAAACTCTGTGGTATTAGTTAACACCTCGTAGATACACTGATGGCCAAACGGGTAGAGCTATCCAAACTAGACTAACAGAACGCGTTAATGTTAAAAAACAATATATATCCAAACAATATCAAAATTTTGCATAGTAATAGCAGAAGATGCAATAAATTAACGCTGTTAGAACATCTAGAAGTTAACAGAGCATTCTACAATTACAATAAACTTATGAACAACCAATTAAAATTGAGTAGCCTTATTTCCCTACTGATATATGTATCTAGAGGGTCGAAAAAAATACTGAAGCTAGCCACTGAAAGTTCCGAAATACCTACAAGAATGAACTTTCTAATTCACATTACATGAATTATTTTATATTTTTCGCAGAGAAAATCTTTGCAGATAATGAAGAGATGGCATTTTCTTTTACTTTGGATATTTGTAGTACAAACAAGACGTATGAGTAAAATATTTTAATTTTTACAGTAATTAATTAGAGTTATCACATTCATTGATAATAATAAAGCCCTACTTTTCACTTTCCAAATTTCTACTTTAAGTTGCTTATGGAGAAAACACATGGAAATAACAATCTTTAACAATATCTACAGAGAGTTTTTACAAAAATTTTGCCTATGGACAACTCTTACCCTTTTAGAGAAATCATATTAATAATAAAAACTGATGAATTTAGGATTACAATTCGTTGATNTGCTCAACATAAAATATGAAAAAGAAGAAGACAAGGACTTCGGTAATATGTAGATATATTCTGAATTTCTCAAAAACTACCAAACCCAGGACAATCGAGAGAACTGATTTCAAAACAAATTATGAACCATCATCATTTTTCCTGTGCGAGTTCAACAGAAAATTTGGGACAGTCTAAAAAGACCTTACACAGCACCGTACTAGATTAAATCAAGGACAATTAGTGCCTTTTTTGTTTGCATATGTACTTATTTTTGATATATTATTTCAATACTCTCCAGTCAACATTTATTTAGCATTCAAATATTAATTTTCAAGTAAATATTTTACTGTATGTTTTTATGTGCAACTAGGTTAAATCTACTTTAATTCGTTTAAAATTGAATGTGATTTGTGAATCAAAAAAATGAATAGATTGATGATTATTTTAATGGAATGAAGAATGATTTAATTTGTTATTATCTAATACCCAGAAGTGAAGAAGTTTCTTCAAATGGGTCAACGGCGCGTGTATTACTTAAAAAACTCTTTGAAGTGCATCGAAACGATTAGAAGTTGTTCTTTTTACCGCTAATTATTAGTTAGATAGCCAAAGAGGAACTACGTACCTGACCATTTAATTATTCCTTATTGCATTGGCTGTTATAAAAAACGTATCGTACTCTTGTGATTAAATCAGCTGTCTTCTTCAATGAACATTTCAAAATAGATTACCGGGAAAAAATCGAAAAAGGATAACAGCGTTCTTTGATAAAAAACATCACTTTATTTCAGATAACAAAAACCACGTTCAACAAGTTAGGGTCATCACTGTACCTTTACACTTTTAACTTTCTTTGTGCATTGCAACCTTTTACTGTCTTTACTTCTCACTAAGTAAAAAGTAAAAATGTTGTTAGCAGAGTCGCGGACTCCTGAGGAAGAGGGGACACGGTAACAACCTGGGTACACATACTACTTATAATAGTTGACTTCATCAACTATACTATGTGCCGCAATTTTTTTTTTTTTCTAATTATGCTTACAGACAAAATTTGTTCAATTTATAATATTTCACTTAATATGGACATAACTAAAGATTTGATGCTATTTTTGACCTTTTGTTCTAGTCTTTTGAGGCCGATACTCCATCTCAATTACAAATTGAATAAGATCGGGAAGGGTTAAAATCGATTTGGGTCAAATTGGAAATTTAATGACTTATCAATATTGCAGAAATAAGTACGAAGAAGTCGTTATCAAGAAAGCAGCAAACACTTCAATTTACAATACAATTCCTAACATGGCACAAGTAAAATACTGATTATATTAAAAATTTAAAAAACAAAACCAACAAAAACACTTTCGATCAAATCACCTATCAAACAAAAAAAAATTAAATTAAAATCGATTCATTCGTTTAAGAGTTACAGTATCACAGATAAATGCACAGATACATACGTTAAACTAATAACACCCCTCTTTTGTGTCGGGGGTTAAAAAGGTAAACATACATACATATTAGTATTAATGTCCCTTTTTCATTGCTTAAACTGTCACCAATACTACTACCAATTTGTATCAAATGCACGCATTGCGATGTCATTTAAATTAACTAAGTTATATAGACTAATAGCATAATTGGTTGACGGCGCTGTGGTGAATAATTATTATTATTTGCTTTTGACAATACGTGCTTCATTAAGGATTCTCAAACCGTAGCTGTAACTGCAATTAAACAGTTGACACATTTGCAATAAATAAACGAATCAAGAGTATTTATTTGATATTTTATATTCCTTATCATATTCACTCAGATTTTCCGAACTTAAGTGTAGGAAATATGTTCATCAAAAGCTCCGCATGTGGACAAAATCAAAGAAATATTTCAATCATTAAATAAAACCTTCGCAATATTTTGCATTAAGCAAACCGTTTTGGCTCATGTGAAATTAAATGTTTGCAGGTTTTAATCACCTAATCCAGAGCTTTTAAAGCATGGGCGCGTGGTCCACCCGTAGCTATATCCCTGGGTTGCGGTCTCATAGTTTTTAGACCTTTTGGTCTAATTCTTTGGTAGTTACGAATTTTATCGTATTCAGATTGAATATTGTGGTCACATTGTATCAAATGCAACAATTTCATTAATTGTAAAGATGTTTATGATAAGTCATATTTCTTGTAACGTTGTGTTGACACATTTCTCAGATATTTGGACTGAACCTTTTGAATTCTGTTGTATTTGGACGCACACTAGGTTTGGATATTGTGGTCAAATCTAGAGCTGACGATATGATTGAACATTGCGGTCACACGGCTGCATTTCCTCTACAATTTTATTAATTTTAAACAATTGTAACAATTTTTACTTTTAGTGACGTTGTGTTATGGTATAATTAAGATACTTGACTCTAAACCTTTTGTAATTGTGAATTTCGTAATATTAGATGACACATTGAAATTGGGCATTCTGGCCCCATATATTTACGTTTCATCTACAATTTCATCAATTGTAAAGAAATTTGTAGAGTTCTATTTCTTGTAGGTATCATGATCTCACGTTTCGGGGATGTTGTGGTCCAGAGTTTTAGTGATAATAAACACTGATATTATTACTATTCGACCATACGCTGAGCTGGGACATTGGATTATGTAGTTTTTTCTGTACAAAGTAGGTTCGATATTATTTTTGGCGGAAATGGTTGTGGAAAAGGTATTTGAGTTTTCCGAGTTATGAAGGAAAGGAAGGAAAATGGATTAAATCGGTAAAGGTATAAAGGATCTGTTCTTGAATTTATCGTAAATCAGTGACCGAGTAGACGGTCGAGTTGTAATGCAAATTCTGCAGCGTAAACAATGAGCCAACCGAATACTAGACAGGGAGTATACAAATAGGGGATGAAAATTAAATTGGAAGAACACTTGAGAGAAAAGCTGGCGCCGGCGCAAAGTAATTCCCTACTGCTCTCAAATAGATTAGGCCGACTCAGGGTGTGTACTACCGTTATGTCGATTCACCGTAACTTGTGTCAAAAGCTAATTTTAATTCATTATTAAACACATCCTGGACAGTAAGCACATGTCGTTTGATAAGTGATTGGTAAAGTTTAATTGCCGATTACAACGTCCGTGTAGTATGTACAGAATTCGCCCCATCGTCCGAGCGCAATCGAGGGCTATCGCGGTGCTGGTGTAGCGTTTAGATATTGTGCTGCATGTTACTAGACAAGTCGTGAAAATGGTGCGAACTGATACAAGAAGGAAAACCGCCAGCTCCAGGCTGCATTTTCTTCTGTTTCTACTCCTGTTGCAAACTTTGCCCATTTCCACCGAACAAGAGGAGGACATACCTCATCAAGAGTAAGATTTGCACCCCGCCTGCTGTTTTGTAGGAAAAAAACAGTGTCACTATCGATTGCCGAAATTCAGAATTGAAAATTAAACAAAACCACCCTATTTACTTGTACAACCGCTTCTTACATCTTTTTTACGTCAAAGTCGTCGATCTTTCTCAAGTTTTAAAATGATAAATTCTAATTATGACTTGCATATACACCCCTATGTATTTATATATGTACAACAACTAAACAATTTGTGCAAGGCCCAAGAAAATGTTTCTTTCTTTTATTTCAGTGTAAGCCTGAAGTCGTAATATTGATTAGGTTTCTATGAGTTACGTTCACAACTCACATACATATGCATTCAAGTACCGTCACGTTAAAACATTAAAAAGAAAAACTGTAACAGAAAGAAATTGATCCATTTTGATATAGATAATTCTACAGTTCCTGATACGTTACATAATACATCCTACTATGAATTTTATACAAAATAGATTAATGTTTTCGAAAATTTTATTTAATTTACCCGGCGCATTCACCAAATTTTGTATTTTTACATAATTATATTACACAATTTGGTTTAATTTAACATCATACTCAATTAAAATTTTATTAAGTAATAAAAACAATATCAAAGAGTGTAACTAAGTATTTTTTTCAATTTAAAAAAATATTTTACAATACGACGAAACTTAAAATTAAATAATTGTAATACGTACATGTCTATATGTTACTGTTATTGTAAATTTGCATTAAAGGGCACAATAACTTATTGATAATAGATATTAATTTCCAATTAAAATTGAACTATATTTTTTTATCGTTTAATTATGAATGGAAATGCAAAAGTTAAAGTATTGTACATTTGTATAATATATTAAAAGTCGTCGACGTTCTTAACATATGTTTCAATTATAAATATAAACATGAAAAATTAACTGTCTGAAGACATTGCGAGTCAATTCAAAAAACTCACAATGTTGAAAGGGAACATTTAAGTGAAGGTAGGGAGAGAATATTGATCCATTTCGTTTTCTCCACCTAAGAAAGACTTAGAACCAATTCAAAGTGTTAAAAAAAGATTTATAGCGCTTCTTATGTTTACAAAATTGTTTCTCAGTAAATAAATTAGCAGAAAGCGAGCCGAAAATACAATTTGAAACACACCCCGTATCTGTCTTTGAAGTTTTAGAATTTTCCCCCTTTTTTTTATTTTGTCCTTTTTAACTAAAACGACTCCGGATTATACGTACATTCAAAACATTTAATTTCAAACGGAAAAAATTAATACGTAAAATTCCAAACGATATTTCGTTTGTATAAAAGAACGCTTTGAGGTTGTCCTACAAAAAAAATTTCAACCTTTTCAGAGTAAAGAACTGGGCAATTAGATTCGGTTTCAACCTATGGTCTTATGGGAAACAAATAACCCGAATGACTGAACTTCAAAAGGTAAATATTCGTATCCTAAATACTCGAAATTCCACATTCGCTTTTTCCTTTCTTTTAGAGGTATCATCAGGAAAAAATTGACGTCGTTAGGAAAGATGGATTAATTAGAATTAGGGAGTTTGCAGGGGAAGTAAAAAACATGATGGACATTAAAATGAGTGCAGTTATGGTACTTAAATAAATAAATATTGTTTAGTTCTTTTTTTTGACTAGTAAGACATTGCAAATGTGATTATTTTAGCGGATTATGGATTCTGCAGAACAGGCAGCTTTAACTCCTCAAGCTGATAGTGGTCAACCAATTAAATTTTATGATGCAAGAAAAATAAATATATTTGGGCCTGATGGGCAGCCTGTTGAAAATAGTAGAGGGCTTATTTTGACGCCAAATACACATTTCGATCATTTACCTGTAAATACTAGTTTAAGTTCAGTTTTGATACCGACCCATATTGATATCAGCAGTGAGTCCTCAATTTAATTAACAAACAAACTCTTCATAACTGTATGGGATATTTTTAGACCTTGACGTGATGCAAGCCATACAATGGTCTGAACATTTGGATCCTCTGTTTGTCAATAATTACGAGAGCGACCCATCACTGTCCTGGCAATTTTTCGGGAGTTCAGTAGGATTCCTTAGAAGATATCCAGGTGCTGACCCAAATATCAGTATAAAGTATCAAATATGACGCTATGTATTCTTTCCGTAGCCATATCATGGCCTCCGGGAGACGCCTATTCTTCCTGGCAAAGATTACAAAATGCAAAGTCTGTGTATGACTTTAGATCTTCGTCATGGTACGTAAATGCGGCCACTTCGCCCAAAGATATAGTTATTTTGCTCGATGTATCCCCATCAATGACTTCAAGCGATCTTTCTCTGGCCAAAAGTACTACTGAGGCAATTCTAGATACGTTATCAAACAACGATTTTGTTAATGTACTCAAATTTTCCGATACAGTAGAGGAAATAATGCCTTGCTTTAGAAATCTACTCGTACAGGTACTTCGACTTATATATTCTAAAAGGGTTTTCATACCAAAGAGACAACTTTTTCAGGCAAATAATGAAAACGTGCAAAATCTAAAGGATTCCTTAGGAAGTTTGAGTTTGGAAAGTGGATCTAATTTTACTTCGGCCCTAGTTGCAGGATTCGAAATCCTTCACAAGGTATTTGAGTAGATTTAATAATTCCATCTGTATTTCTCCTAATTGTAAGGAAATGTTTACATTGGTACCTAAATATTTTTGTAGTATAATCGTACTGGTCAAGGATGTCAATGTAATCAAGCCATCATGCTTATAAGTAGCGCTCCACCCTCGAGTTATAAAGAAATATTCAAAATTTACAATTGGCCGCACAGACCTGTTCGCGTATTTACTTATTTGGTAGGCAGTTCTGGTACTTCTTCTGAAATGCATTGGATGGCATGTGAAAATAAGGGTATGTCCCTTGCTTATGGTTGCATATTATCCTTTCACATTAATTATTACAGGCTATTACACAAGAATCAATAGGTACGACCAAATAAAGCACAAGGTGCTTCATTATATAGAAGTCATGGCAAGACCAATGGTCATGTATCAGAATGACCATCCCATTCAATGGTCATCGGCGTATCTTGGGGGAAAGGTAAAATACTGTTTTTTAATAACGGCGGTTACACTCTTATCTATTTCTTTATAGAGGGACAGTCTCTCCATTGACAAAAAGGAACAGCTAATGACTACGGTCTCCATACCAGTTTTTGATCGACGAAATCATTCGGTAATAAATTACTTTATCAAGTAACAATAAATATCTGTAGATCGTGGGGTATTATTCTCAATCTACTTGATATTAATCATTTTGCTTGTATACATAGATTACGTCGGTAATTTATTGAAACTAATTACGAATTCTTCGCATTTTCCGAAAACTTCAACATCTTACAACCCTAACTATTTGTGAATCTCTAAAACGTGGGCGGTGAGCGCTGCGGAAAAATAAAAGTTAGAAGCTTCTGAAATGCGGTGTTGTAAGAGGATTTTAAAAATATCACGTATAAATACTATTAGAAATTAGGAAGTGTTAGAAAGGGTATTCGGAGAACACAAGACGTTCAGTAGGAAATAGCGAAATAGATTGGTAAGACTTTCTCAGCCACGAAGAACTAGTTAGGGACGTTTTATAAGAAGCAGAAGCAGGGGTTAAGGAAGGTAGAGTAAGACCCATATTTCCTACCGCGTAACCATCATGGGGTCATCAGTCTTATGACTGATTGGACACGCAATTACACTCTCTGATATACTGAGCTTATCTTCGCATTTCCCTAAAACTAAATCAACTCACATCTACCCCCTCCTAACTCCCGTTTCTGCCTCTAATATATCTCTGACACATACTTAACAAGAGTTAAGAGAGATGGAAGAAGACCTAGATTATATTACTGTTCGTAAATATTTAGAAATGTAGGTCACCTTAGTTTTTGAGAAATGCGAAGATTGGCTCAAGAAGAAGGAAGAAGTCTTCAGGTTGATGATCTTATGATGATGTTGATCATGAAGATGATTCTAATCTAGGCATTTCTCTGCCTCCCTTTGCTTCTGGTCTCTGCTTCTACTAGGCCTTTAACTATCCCTTTATGTCTCAAAAGGTGTTTTACCACCGTGCTTCTCTTTTTTTCTTATTTACTTCCTAACTCATATTCATCATCGTAGGGTCACCAATCCCATGACTGGTTGGACACACAATTCCACTCTCTGATAGCCTGAGCTTTTCGCATTTCCTTAAAACTAGAACATCCCAACATACTTAACAAGAGTTATGAGAAACGGAAGAAGACCTAGATTATATTACTATTCGTAAATATTTAGATATGTAGGTTGCGATAGTTTTTGAGAAATGCGAAGATTGACTCTTGATGAAGGAATAAATGGAAGTGTTCTTCTAGTCTTTGTTTCGAATAGGTCTCTAATTATCCCTTCATGTCTCTAAAGATTTCTAACCACCGTGCTTCTCTTTTTCCATTTTTACTTCCTACGTTTTCCTTCTATTTCCTTTACCTCCTATAACATCGCATTTTAAACGCTTCTAACTTTTTCTTGCTCCAGTTATACCAATAATACATGTAATAACACATAATTGCCTGGTGGTTTTGATAAATTGCCGATTAAGAACTTTGTCCTTTAGTTATGTGTTTATATAAAAATTTAATTAATACTTTCTTTCGTACTTGTAGTTTAACGAGAAGGAGGTAAGTGTAATCAGGGCTGTTATAATACGTATTAGGTAAACGCCAAAAATTAATTTTCATTTACATTAGGTACGCGTAGCAAATTTACTGGGTGTTGTTGGTACCGATGTATCTGTCGATCAGATAAAAAAATTAGTGCCTTCCTTTAAGGTAATTTTAATCAACTTGTATTAACTTTCACTAAGAATTGATTGATTGATTTATTTACAGTTAGGAGTTAATGGCTACTCATTTGTAGTAAACAATAACGGCCATATACTGTACCACCCCGACCTGAGGCCATTGGTAAAATTATCATTAATTATAAGCTCGCCGTTTTGATTAATTATTGTTTATTTTTCAGAGTTACAACAACGAAAACTTCGATGAAACGTTAAAACCAAGTTATCTTTCGGTTGATTTGAACGAAGTAGAACTAATTGATGGCGAAAATGGTCCTAGGGAAAACCACTCTGCTTTACTAGATGTAATTTTCTTTCTTTTCTAATTAAGTATCTAATCAAAATTTTAATATATTTCCAATTTCCACGAACAGTTGAGACAAGATATGATTGACCAGAAAGAGGGTGAAACTGAGCTAAATGTTAAAGTTCACTACGACGAAATGGTAAACGACTTTCACCTAGATAAGTGCATAATAAAATTGATTTATATCTTGTTTCAGAGACGAGTGACAACACGTAGACAAAAATACTTTTACAATCCTATAGAAGGCACCCCTTTCTCTTTGGGAATCGCTATTCCCGAAGGATACGGAATGTACGAGTTAATAGCAGAGCAAGAGATAAAGCACAGCCAAAAGAATGGTATAAAACGAATATCCACACAAAAGATCGAAATGTAGGCACTCCGTGGTTTGAACAACAGCTTTAGGCAATTCCCGAAATAAATTCTAAATAATGATGAGCAAAAACAGTTTTGTCTTGTCTTGGTGATACAGATTTAATAAGACCAAGTTACAGACCAAAACTAAATACACAAAACCAAAACCAAAAGCAAGATTCCCCTAAAATTCTGGCCCGTACAAAGTAAATAAGAACAGTTTGGATAATGCTCTAAAAGAAACATAAAAAAGAGATTTAAGATGCAATTTAATTTTTCTGAATTATTATAATAAATCGTGCAAAAATAAGAGCTTACCTTATAAGAACAAGATCAAAAGCATGACTAAGACTAAGAGTAAATGTGTTAAACCAAAATCAAGACTATAATGGTCTTGCCTGGATCTTGTGCTTGCTCATCAGTGTTTCCGAGATTGAATTTCAAATAAGGGTAAACCTAACTAGCCTTATTCAATAGGAGTAGAAGATCAGTTTCGGTTGTCTTGATTTGAAATTTCATTTTCGAATAAATTTCGTGGTTTTCCTAATGGCGTTGAATAGACTAATCATTTCGCAGAGCGCATATATTTCGGCCTTTGACTACAGAATAAAATGCATTCTTTTAATAAATTATTTTCATTAGTTACCGAATATTTCAAAGGAGATAACTGGAGGGTACACCCCGATTGGTATGTTGTATAATTTAGGTTTTCAATTTTTCGTAAAACACGTAAAATGAGTGAATTACTTGATACTTATCTATATTTCGGTGTAGGGTGTATTGTGAATATACGAGTGGGTATACGGGGGAAAAGTTTAAAACAGCTGAAGAAAGGGTTTTACATTTCCTGTCCAGAACCAGAAGACCAGGATGGAAATGGATGTCCCTGCGTCCCAGATACCACAACCATCATTCTAGCAAGCAAGAAAAAGATGCTTATTTTTGTAAGACATCATTACTACACAATTATGCATATAAATAGATTAAAAAGAATTAACGTGTCAAAAACAAATTTAAAATTCGTTAGGTGACAAAACATTGCTCCAGTCTTTGGTTTTGGATGCGATGGTAACCGAAGAAATCGAAAGGAGTTCGGCAGATCCAAAGTATAACGAGTAGGTATCGGAGAATTAAGTTCAATTGCATGATAATTACTTAGTGTATATCACAGTTTTATTTCAATAACTGCACATTAAATGATGTTTACTATTAATTTTATTTTTGCACCGTTAGCCCTTTTGCTACACTTTGGGTACTTTTACTAAGGTAAAGTAATTTTTTCTAAAACATGCAATTATCTATTTATTTACATTGTAAACCCCCCCCAAAAAAATAACGTTGTTGGGGGTACAAATCAGCGACACAGAGCACTTTACATTTAGCATGTATAACTAAAGAGCAGGTTTAACAACTAAAATTTAAATAAACAGCAATTAAACCTGTTCTTTGTGTACTATATTGTTTAATATTATGTACAAGCGCATTTCATTCATAAAATATTCATTTTCATTAGCCTTGTATGTTTTTCAAATTGAGTAAAACATTTCGCATCATATGTATGTATATATAGTCCCCATATTGAGCCAAAAAGAATATTTATTATCACATTATTATTATTAGATGTAATTATTATCTGAGGTTTCGTTCTCAACACCCTCTTTAACAATTAAGTATTTAGACGTAATTCTTGTTGTCGTTGAATTGCTAAAGATGGTGAAGAAATGTTAAATTATTTTATTAACTAGTTTATTGCTGTCTGGAATAGGTAAGTATTTTAGAAAATATCTGCATCAATATATATCTACGTATGTCAATTTTTTATGTTTACCACGAGAAACCACGTTTTTAAAAATATCGAAATTTCATTTTAAATATTAATACATGGAGAGAAAAATATTAATCCAATAATTTTTAAAATTTACTAGAAAGCACAGGAATTTTTACCGTGCTAGTAGCATGGTAATTTTTCGATTGTCAGTCAAGGCACCCAGATTATGAGACAGCATGGTACTTTTTACATGATTTTTCTCTCCGTGTACACACCTAATAGTTCTTAATGATTGTGATAAATTAATTTAAATAAATAAAGCGTGTCATACGAAAATTTATTCGATGTTGAATTGGTTTATAGCCAAGGACATGTAAAAATGTTCGGACTGCAGCTTTCCTTCATTGCTACAAGGAGTGGACTTCTAAGGTGGAAAGATTATACTAATAACAGCGCAACGTGAGTACCTTCCTACAAATAAAATAAATAATCCAAAGCATTGATCGATTATTATTGCGAATTTGTCTTTAAAGGCATTTTAGTGAACAAAATGTCCATGCCACTGACGAAATTTGGTATAAACGTGCGGTCGATCAGCATGCCATCGAGGCCGATAGTTTTGTATTTTCCGTACCCCATAACGTTGGGGCAAACAGTCAAACATTGGTAACGGCAACCCACGCCATTTTTGTCGAACACAAAGGGCACAGGGCACCTGTGGCTGTAGTTGGCATGCAATTCCTACATTCCGAACTGGCCGACCACTTTTTGGTCAACATAACTACGAAAGTATGTAGTCCAATCAAAAAAAGAACGAAAATTAAGCATTATTTTTAATATCCACGTCTTTTATTATTTTAACTTCTTCAAAAGTTACAGTTTCTTAAGTTCAAAAAAAAAATTTTAACAATGGAGGGAATATTTAAGTCTAATACTAATTAAAAGTCTGGAAATTATAAATAGTGTTTGAGACGAATTCTGGTCATGCTTTTTAAAGGAGATTCATTTATTTGCTCCGTTTACAGTGCTCTGGACCGCTTGCTTGTACAAAAACTTGCAAAAGTGAAGCGCTTGACTGTTATATTTTGGATAACAACGGATTCATTATAATATCAGAAAATCCTGAACACACTGGGAGATTCTTTGGACAAATAGACGGAACGATTATGGACTCGTTGGTCCAAGATCGAATTTACAAGAAGATACAGGTTTACGATTATCAAGGAGCATGCCCCAGTAGCCGTATAAACTTTAGCGGTCACAGTAACAAAATTTCGGTAACACCAAAAATCGTCCTCAACTATTATTTAATCGCCACACTTTTATAATAATATTAATAATATATTTTAGCCCTTTTTCCCAATGGTTCAACTTGTTAACTGGGTTTTTAAAGCTGTTACTTTACTTATGCCATTTTTGGACAACTTGTACGGAGCGGCATTCTCGTTTTCGGGTCAGTTTTTCTACAGTGCATTATTGAAACAATCAATAAGTATAAATTCCGATTGTAGATTATCCAGAACAAGAGTACGATTTAGATGGCAATTACGCGGGTGAAGAGTTTCTAAACGAACCGGATTCCGCTACCGCCCCTAGCTATTTCCCTTCGAACCCTTCTTTTGCTATTCCTCCCACTGAAACCGATCCTTTGGAAGGAATCGACATGAGTCAGTTTGGCGTCAAAAGATGCGATCGCAAAGTGGATCTTTACAATCTCCAACCTGCTAGATTAAACACCAGTGGCATGAGTAATCCGTTAAAGGGGAAATTAACCAACTGCCACAGTTCCGGTTGTGAAAGGTATAATATATAAGTATGTAATTAAAAGGTTTTCATAATGTAATGTAAATTATCTTTTGGTTCTGAAAGGCCGTTCAGTGTCCAGAAAATACCACACAGCAATCTGATTTTGCTGGTGGTTGACACTCTTTGCCCATGCGGAAGCAAACAGTTGAGTATACAACCCCAAGAAATATTGTATGAAAGTAAGGAATGTCTTCATAAACCTAAAGACGGGTTGTACAGGAGACGTCCTCCAAAGTGTATCAATTATCATCCCGAAGTAAGTAATCATAGTAAGTTTGGCTCAAGCCAGTATATGATCGTTCCATATATTCCTACCTTGATGATGAGAGCTTTTGAATGAGTTATTTTTTAAATATTGGAGATGACGAAGAGGGAAAATATGAGGGGGTAAATGTTAAAAAAGTTGAGGTGTGAGTTTCTCAATATGAAAAGTTTTTATAGGTTACCAACTTCCTTTTGTGGCTGACATGGTTTAGATGAGAAGATTACGGTAGGAAAAGATAACACCATCGAATGAATGTCATCGTGACTATATCCTCCCTATTGAGTTTTGTTTGATAATCAATTAGGAGTTGTCTGTAGCACTAAAATATCTCTATGATGACTATGTTCTTTGGCTTCATATATTTCCTCTCTATTTCATCTCCTACCATTGAGATACAGCTCATTTGGAAGCTCCCACCGTAAACTTATCTATTTGCACACGTATTTAAAGTGGGGCATATACAGGACCGGAACTAAAGTTTGTCTGATTTATGTAACAATTACGACTGTCTCTCTTTAAATTTCAGGAAATTGAAATAAAACTTTGTGGAGAAGCAACGGAAATAGGAGTAAGTTTTGCAGCGATTATAATAGGGTTAATCCACTGTTTAATCGCAAGTCTATCGTGATCTATATTAGAATAGACTTTTAAAAATGTAAATGTCCTAATTAAATGTGCGAATAAGACCAGCCTGAAAAAAAGTTTCAATGAATTCTGTGCTTGATCACGCTCTTTTGTCTTAATAATCTAATTAACTAAAGGTGTCTACTTATATGTACTTACCTATATCGTCATTTTGTATAAGGGAGTTTGAATATTATTCTACATATCTAACGATTGTATATTGAATTTTAATAATATTTGAGAATGTGAAACTTCAATGATTCCTTCAGAGCTAGGTAATTTTTTATATAATTTATACGTAACTGTAAGTTTAAATGTAACGTGTAAATAAAAAAGAAAGGGACGATAGCGAAAACAGTTTGAACAATAATTTGTTTTTTAGGTACTTAATTGCTTTAAAGTACAATCGTGTATGTATTATATAGATGCGAAAATAATCTGAATATTTAATAAGTAACTTGACTTTTATTAGGACAATAACTGTTGATTTATTAAATATCTATTATTTTCATTAATAACGCGTTTAATTCCATGTGTAAATAATACTAGGATGGAGCTGCTGCTAGGATAAAAATTGGTAACTGCAACTTGCATAATATGACAATATTAGATATCAAATATAGTAAAGAACTACTACTAAATTTTTAACTTTAAACATATCACTAATTTTTTATTAACTTTCTGCTCTTTTGATATAACTTTTTCATATTTTTATCCTAAAGTGATGTTTACGTATAAGCATCTATTATTTATTTACATTGTAAACCCCCCCCAAAAAAATAACGTTGTTGGGGGTACAAATCAGCGACACAGAGCACTTTACATTTAGCATGTATAACTAAAGAGCAGGTTTAACAACTAAAATTTAAATAAACAGCAATTAAACCTGTTCTTTGTGTACTATATTGTTTAATATTATGTACAAGCGCATTTCATTCATAAAATATTCATTTTCATTAGCCTTGTATGTTTTTCAAATTGAGTAAAACATTTCGCATCATATGTATGTATATATAGTCCCCATATTGAGCCAAAAAGAATATTTATTATCACATTATTATTATTAGATGTAATTATTATCTGAGGTTTCGTTCTCAACACCCTCTTTAACAATTAAGTATTTAGACGTAATTCTTGTTGTCGTTGAATTGCTAAAGATGGTGAAGAAATGTTAAATTATTTTATTAACTAGTTTATTGCTGTCTGGAATAGGTAAGTATTTTAGAAAATATCTGCATCAATATATATCTACGTATGTCAATTTTTTATGTTTACCACGAGAAACCACGTTTTTAAAAATATCGAAATTTCATTTTAAATATTAATACATGGAGAGAAAAATATTAANCAAGGATAATTAATACGTAATATATAGTCATAAATTATCCCTGTTTGAAATACTGTAAATTAACAAATGTAAAGATTGTAGTAATTAACTGATGAAGCCGTGGTGTTGAAACAATATAAATTTTATGGAGATTAGGCCAAATAGATGCTTTATTAATATACCATATATTTTATTTTTTTTAAAACTTCTTTATTGAAAGATGTTTAGGTAATTAGAAAATAACGACCTTAACAAAAACTGCATTGACGCGACATTTTCGAAATTGCAAACTTTGTCGAAAAGAGATAGAAAGATGTCTGATTGATTCGAAATTGTAAAGGATTTGAACGAAAAAGAAATGTATAAATTTTATCTTGTTTATAATGCAGTGTTGCTTATAGAATGTATAATTTAATTTCAGTCTTGAATGTAAAGACAGATTGTTATTTAAGTGTGTTAACTGCACTATACTTTAACTAAGTCTTCCATTTAAAACAAATAATTAATTGTAAGTAAACTGTAATTAAAATAGAGTAGCTGTAGACTTACGCATTCACTTCAGCAAAAAATGTGTAGAACAGTTAGATACATATTGTTTCCCGAAAAAAAGTTGATTGTTGCATGTATTATTTATAAATAGCATTTCACTATATTGAATGGATATAGATTTAATTAAAATAATTATATTTATTTCACTGTCTTTTTGTTTTTGCGCCGTCCACGTTGAAATTATTTTATTAAATTTCATTCAGATTAAAAAATTGATATCATGGGTTAATGGGCCCAAGAACAGTGGGAAAAACACTTGTAGAGTGCGTCACTTCCAAATCGGTGTCTGCAAATGAAGAATGGCGAAATAAATTAAATAGAAAAGTTATTTGGAACACAAAACAGCTTTTTTAAATAAATATTTTTAATGCCCAACACCAACAAACACTTGTACCGAAACAAGACAAAAAACAACACATTTAATGAGACGAATAAACGGACAAACGCAAAAGTCAAAGGACAACAGATTCAGTATCGTCCGAAGCCGACAAGTGACAAAAAAAACGGGGGAGATTTACATAGTTTCTTCAGGCGACACTTTGGTTTGTATTTCATAAGACCTTCAAACTGATGGACATTCAGACAACCTTTGCGTTTTCTGGAAAGGAAAAAACAAAACAAAATTAAACGCTATATCAAAGATATAAAATATTTTATCGAACCCAATGATTATTTCACGACACAGTTGCTCTTTCAGGTAGAAGGAATACTAAATTTAGCTTAATGGCAAAGTACTTTATTTGTGTATACTTATAGGAAATTAAAATTAATTAAAAGAAGAAGAGAATTATTTACATCAAGTTGATCACTAAATTTAATTTGGTTAATTACTTATATAATTTTCTTTTCTAAATGGATAATTTAGGAATAAAAAAACTTTTAGAAAATCTATTAATAAATAACACAGGTCT